AGGGGAATTAATATTTCCTGTACTAAAAGCCATTGGGTGACCTGACTGAAGTGAGCCAGAATAGTATAACTGGGATAAATTACCCGTGCTAACTGATGAGTATGATGATGCCTTACTCTGAAGAGATCTCGCAAAAGTAGCTGATGTTCTTAAGTCTAAACTCTCAGTTTCAACTGACACAGGTGCCCTTATCATAGCATGTCTGCTCTGTCCTGGACTAAGAGACCTTGGAACATCTCTTTGGCTGCAGTCTCTTCCAAAATCACTAGCAGAACCTTTTGATAGCCCTGAAAGTAGCTGTGTCTTTTGTTCTGTATTCTGACCTGATATTTCAACTTGTTTATGAGTTAAAGAGTCCTCAGCTACATTCTTGCTGAGTATTCCAGTTAAAACCCTTTGCTGGCCAGTTTGTGAAATCCTCTTCTCTTTCACTGCATGCTCTTGTGAATATCGATGTGTTAAATCAGTGTGTGCCTGTGTTTGTGGTGGGTTCTTCATCGCTACTGTAGCATTATCGGCTTTTGGATGCAGCGATTGTGCATTTGCTGCCTGGCAGGTGGTTTCGGTGTTTTCAGATGATTTCGTCAACTTATTAAACAACCCTGAGAGCACTCCAGATTGACTTTCTCCAGACTCCTGCTGAGTCTGAGTAGGTTGTTGAGCCATATTTTCTGAAGAGGATTTGAATAATCCAGACAGTAGACCACTTGCTTCAGTGTTTTTTTGTATTGTGGTGTTTTGAGGCTGAGTTTGATTGGAATTGGGAACATTCATTGCCTTTGTTTGCTCATGGCTGTATTTTCTTGGGGCGATTCCATGCTGCTGAGGGTTAGGTGGCGGTTTTGTATTTATGTTGTCTGCTGAAGCAAATTTAAAAAGACCTGATAACAGACCACCTTGTTGGGATCGTGGCTGCTGGAGTGGAACAGTTTGTTGTCGAGTAAAGCCTGGTTTACTAGTGTCCTGTTGGAACTCTTGCTGACTTGGCGTTCTCTTCCTGAGCTGAGGCCCTCGGTCTGAACCTGGAATATGCTGTTGTTTGATTCCCTGTTGATTCTGTTCAAAGCTGTTGTATTGGTTCTGGTCTGTTTGGCTGCCTGGAACATTCTCAGATGATGCAAATTTCAGTAAGCCAGACAATAGCCCCTTTGGCTGAGGTTGTGTTTGTTGAAATTCATCAGAGGTCTGCTGCTGATCAGAGTAATTGCTGTGGGTGTTCCTCTGTTTTTCAGCGTCAGATAGCTGTATGTTGTGTGGTATGTTTTCTGTTGAGGAGAACTTCAACAGCCCTGAGAGAAGCCCCCCCTTTGGAGGAGCTGAAGAAGATTGTTGTGGGGGAGGGTGATGAGGAAACTGTGGTGGATTATTGCTCCTGGGGGGTTGATTGTTATTGGAAGCCTGCTGTGACAAACTGCCAGACAGGTCACTGGTAGACCCAAATTTAAGTAGTCCAGATAACAGTCCTCCTTGTTTCGCTTGATTAGAGCCAATGTTTGAGACATCTTCAGTCGAGCTTCCTTTTATTAGACCTGTCAAAAAACTCCGTGATTCAGGCTGATTGAGGGGTTGATGCTGAATTCCATGACCAGCTGCTATTGGTTTCTGATGTGATGCATCCTGAGATGTGACTTTGCTGTCCTGAGATTGCTGATTACTGGCCAAATTTGGGTTTAAATTAGGGGAGGCAGGGGTGGGGCTAAATATGCTGGAAAACCATCCTTTCTCAGTGCTTTCCTGCGGAGCAGCAGAATTCTGGGTAAAGGTGTTGGAGGTTTTTAAAGTTGAGTCATGATGTGATTGCCCAGGATTCTTTATGTTCGCAGAGGCACTAACATTCTCACTGGATGCAAACTTCAAAAACCCTGAGAGCACGCCTCCTTCTGCTTTGGGACATTGCTGCGTGGAGACATTTTCCGAGGACACGGAAGGCGGTTTAGGCTTGCTGCTCAATGATTGGTCCTCTACTGGTTTTTGTTGACAGGGATCCTCTGCGGATCTAAATACTGGATACACTGCCACAGGTGGAGCCCCTTGAGGTGGAAAGGGACCAGCAGGTGCAATCAATGAACTTAATGACTTTCTCAAAGGGCTAAAAAACCCAGTGTTTGCTGATTGTGTTTGATTAGTCGGCCTTGCTGGCCCCGGAACAGGCACATTCTCTTGTTGGGAAACCACTGGATTTTGTCTCCCATATATATTTTCATCTTGATCGTGTCCCAAATATGATTTTGATGAACTTCTTAATTTCCTACCTTCATCTCCTGTCATAGTCTGTTTCCCTTGATGCATACCTTGATGAACATCTTGAGTACATGCTGTTTCTGGTTCGTGGCTGTTTTCAGCTGAATTTCCATTTACTCCTGCTGAAAGAAGTTTTAAAGGATTAAATTTCCCCAGAACAGAGTTTCCTGGAGCACTTTGAGGTTTGGTTGCAAACTCTGCTACATGTTCTTTTGAACTTGTTTGAGTCTGAGTCGATGTGGGAGCTTTTGTTTCTTTATCATGACTTTGTGTCTTGTCATCATGTGGTAGCTGAGAAGACAAAGATCTGAATGATTTTTCAGGAGATGTTTCTACAGGAGATACAACAGCTACAGGAGCGGAACCATTTGATTTGGGAATAAAAGACAAAAGTTTTGTAAATCCAAATTGTGAGGATTGTCCTGATGGCGCTTGTGGACTCGGGACAGGCTGTTTGGGGGGTCCTCCTACTCGGTCAGTGAGAGAACTAAATAATGAGCTCACAGCATTTTTTACCCCTGAGACACCCTGGTCAGAAGAAGCATGTGACTGGGTTTCTGCTCTTGGATCCTTCGATGAACTCACTTGGTCATCTCCAAAAGAATCTGTTCTGTTGCTACCCAGAGATGAGAGCCTGGATTTGTTTGATTTAGGAAGGGAACCATACTTGCTAATTTCCTCCTCTTTTTCAGCAAGGTATTCAGAAACAGTTTCAACAAGACACTGGAGCTCATCCATAGGGTCGACATATTCATCACTTGGTTCCTCGACAGGTGAGAGCATTGCCTCTGGGGTCCATCCTCCAATTTTAGCTTTTCCAGGCTTCTTCTCCCGAAGACCCTGAGAATTTTCAGAATGACCATCGTAGGAGAGAGAATACCTGTCTTTGTAATTTCTGGCAATTTCCAGGTGAAAGTCTTCTGCTCCAAAGGCAATGTCATCTATTTCATCCTCTGCTTCAATGGAGTAGTGCAGATCTTCAGAACCATCTAAATCAAAATGGAACCGCGCCCTTCTTCTAGCATCTTGTTCTTTTTTATATGCCACATAATTCTCTAAAGTGTGGTCCAGCTCATTTTTAGCCCACATCCTTGTCTTGTAGAGAAGCCCATTCTTGTATGGCCTGAGGCAGGATGTCATTCGCTCCTCCTCTTCCTGCATCTCTTCCACCTGCCGCATAAACAGCTCCCCTCTCTTCTCACGCAGCCGTGCGAGGTCAGAGGGAAAAGCCTCTTCTCTCATTTTGTCTGCCTCTGTACCAAGCAACGCTCCTGAGTTCCTTATCGTTCTCTTTCGCCGCCGATCGATGGTGTCATAGCCCTCCGGGTAGGGGGCAGGCAGATAGCCACTACGTTGAGTGTTTTGACGGATAGAAGTGTGCGATGGCTCAGGGTAAGCTGGTCCCATTCGAAGGATGACATTGTCTTCCTCATCATCTAAGAAGTCGCTCAGCTGAGGTTTGCCATGCCCTTTATATCTGTTTTCCCACTCTTCAACCCCCATGCCAGAATCCACAGGTATGATTCTGACCCTTCCTTTCTGATTCAATGATCTAGTTCATGTTTACAATAGATTTACCAGGATGGGAAAGGAAACAAGGAAAGAAAAGAAAGAAGCAAACAAACGAGAAGAAACATGCAAAAGAAAGAGCACAAGTTAAGCAGAACGATAAATAAGGAAATTAAGAGCAGAACACATTCATGCAAATGTGAAGACACAATCATGCTGATCAGCTTAGTGGACAAAATTTTTATATTTCACATATAAACAAACTACATGTGTGAGTGCAAGTCTGAGTGTGTGTGCCTCTATGTTCGGATGCGCCTCTATGAAATTAGATCTTTGTAAATCCCCACAGCGACAGTCATGCTTATCAGCGCTTCAACACTCTCTGTGCTAAATCACCACCATATGGCACGCAATCACCAAAAACATGCGCGTGCATCTCACTGACCCACTTCCTCTATGTGCTACAGAGGGATTTCCTCTGTCATATTTCTAAACCAAGTTCAGACCCTTTGAAACTACCGAAACTTTAGCCGACACAACACACCCTCAAAAGGAAAAAAAAAGAAGCAAACAATGAGCTTTCCCTGGATGCAATCCCGTTTATTCCTGATCTACAATTATCCGGATCAACCCTCTATCAGTCCACACAGGCAGATTTGCAGCAGTCTCGCCGGTAAACATGTATTTCATGACTATCCACCAGTGCACAGAAGTGGGTTCCATGCAACAAGAGCATTTCTCTTATGGATGAAATCTGACCACAAAACTGCTGTGTGGTATAAATGAAAATCGCAGTAGGATAGTGGATACTGTTATTTTCCTTTTTTATTTCAATACATAATTATAGCCTTTCAACTACATTCTGACCCAAATTGAAAGTCAATGGACAAAAAAACTGGCAGGAATTCAAAATCTAGAGACAAGTGAATTCACAACAGGACATCGACTGCGGATACATGATGTGAAAATATCCATTCTGTGTCTCCAGATCCCCCCTGGTTCACTGAAGCAGCTGAATTATTCATCATCAAGAGCAAGAAGGAAAGAAAAGCTCACAGACAGAGGAAATGTTGGATTTTTGGTCAGACAAACTATCCGGAAGAAAAAGCTAAACCTTTAGTAATGTAATTAAAATGACTATTTCTGTCACAAATCTGAAAGTGGATGTGTCTGACTATACATGTTATAGTGAGAGAAATCTCTGTATGAGAAAGGAAACGTATGTGCGTGAGGTTGTAAACTTGGGGTACCTGCTCCCTCTCTGTTCCCGGTAGTCCAGGTCAAAACTGTGCACAGAGTCTGTGCAGGAGTCCGGGTGGTGCGGCAGCCGAGGCCCCATGGGGTACTGGTGCATGGAGGAGTTGGGCTGAGCCGTTGTGTGGTAACGTGGAGGCAGACTGTTACTCGTCTCACTGCGGTAGTCGCTGTCGCGGTCATCTACGGCGCTGTCCTGGTCATCTAGAGCTGCCACGGGAAGATAAACACACATTTAGCTTGCCTGGAACATCAGTAAGTATGTTTTTAAAATCCTTGCTTATCAACAAACCCATCAGAAAGTGGATAATGCATCCTAGGTAATATTTTGCCGAGCTGAGGGGAAAACTGTTGAGAGTTGAGGAAATAGAAATAAACAAACTAGGGTGATGCCAGGTCAGGAGGGAGCAAAGGTCATGCACTCTTAAAAGACTGGAGCCCTTTTTCATGCAAGCTCTTCAGCTAGATGTACGATACTGGGCTGTGTGCTAATCTGCCTTATCCTTCAGATTGAAATGCAAATGTGTGTTAGGATGTATTTTATGTTTTTTTTACAAGAAGGATAGAGAGAAAATGTGTTGCTAGATAAAAAGTTTCAAAAAGGAAATTCTGAAATAATGGTTACTCATCAGAGGTGCAGAAAAATATAACCTTAGACCTTTCCAGCCCAGAGAATGACCCTAGAAAACATCTTTGGAGAGGCTGACGTCCTCCAGAGGGAAGCTGGGGTTTTATCTTTTCAGAGCGATAAAGTGAGAGAGATAAGGATAAATCTGTTGATATCTCTTGACAGAGTGAAGTTGCAGGACAAAGTCAAGGTGATAAATTAATATAGTGGAGCAAAGACTGCCACCTACCAACGCAACTGCAACTTATTGTCTAAGATCTGATTGAGTTTTTTTACTTTTCATATTTAAACGTGCTCAATATTAGTGTTATTATCCAATAACGTGATTAAAGTAAAAATGCTTCACAAAAAAAAGGAGCATGGGGCCCAATTTCAGACGGTGAATAAACATCAGTGATTTTTGATCTATTTTCCTGACGATGTTTGCTATAGATACAACACCAATAATTTCAACATAAAGTAAACATGGGTTGTAAAAAACTCGACAACAGCACAGAGAATAAATAACAGGAAAACAGCAGGAGAAGGAAATCATGTATATAAAAAAAAAAAAAGGTCAAGGGGGGAAACAGTGAGAATAAAATAATGATGATGGAATGCAGGGAGACGTGATAGATCAGATGTTATCGGGGGATATGGGGCATTAGGACATGCAGAGGGCGTTGAGGATTAACCAGGGAGGAGAACTTCATCAAAGTGAGTTTTTACATACTCAGTGGCTCAGCCCATCCGAAATAGTTGCCTGGTGAAAGTGCAAATGTTAGAAGTGAGAGGTTCAGTCAGAGGAGGTCGGGGTGCGAAAACCAAAAGTAAAGAAAAGTGTACCTGTGTTGTAACAGTGGTGGGGGGGGATAAGGGAGCGGTTCTCAGAGTGGAAAACAAACTTGTCATAACATTGAGAAAAAATGTCACGTGCATAACTCTTTGTTGAGTATGTGCAAATATTTACACACTCGATCTGAAGTGTACATTGTTAATTTTCAACTCTGATTAAAATTAGTCAGTGCAGCAGGATCAAGGACGTGGAAATAACAACAAAAGCCCTGAGAGCTAGAAAGGATGGGTGAGTGTCACCATCTAGAGGCTGAGAGGAGAACGTGCGGACACACTCACAGCACTGGGAGGCGGCGAACGGCAGTGGGCGACTCTGAACGTCATCCTGAAGAGGGTACTGCAGAGGAGAGAGATGAAAACAGCATCAAGTCTGTTTGTCACATCCTCAAAATTGTTATTATTAGAACGGTAATCTACTTCCACCACTCCATCAACACAAACAAACACAGCAGCACGTCATTAGCACAAGAAGTAGAACAACAGGAACACGTAATGTAATTTTTAGACATAAAAACAAGATGAACCTGTTGACCTGATTGAAAACAATTACATGTATTTTTCATTTTAAAGCACAGATGCACGAATAATAGTTGTAAATTGTGTAAATTTACCTCATCGTGGATTCTGAGGGTATTGATGTGCTCCAGCTTGCCCGTCCAGTACTGCGCCTCGTCATCTGGGATGTCTGGTACCAACATATGCATAAAAAATACATGTTCAACCCGTGTTTGACGTTTACATCCTGCTCCCTCCGACTCCAGTGTGACAACGTCATGCCTGTTTAATTTCTCATGAGCCTCTCAGGAGGGGAGTCAATAAAAATAGTGAGCATAGGACACAAACTGTTAAAGGAGGAGACTGATAAACATCAGGAGTATTTTCATCACAAGGACTTCGATGCTCAAAGATGTAGCAGATGACTTTTGACAATAACATACGACGAAATAAACACAGAACAAAACAAGAAATATCAGGAGCCAGGAAAAAAAGGTCAGAACAGGATGGTTTTGTCCTTGTTTTTTTCCTTCTTGGTTAGAACAGGTACCCTCACCCATCCCACATTTCCAGGGGATTTGTGCTGCAGCAGACAGATGCACATTAAAAGGCCACACACGCAAAGGCCAGGGCTTCAAAGACGCACCGTCCCAGAGCTTTACAGAAATGGCTCTGGTGGCACAAAGAGTCACAATGGCCATCCCGCAAACTTAAAAGGTGACGGAGAAAGAGGCCGACCCCCCACCGAGCGGACAGTTAACTTTGATGTGTTTTGATCGCAGGGTTTAAACTGTATATGCAGAGGAGGGGGCGCTGTTTGCTGTGGTCAAGGACGCAGACAGCAGGAGGATGGTTTTAACTCTCCAAACCTGAAGAGCACTGAATTAATTGAGGTTCGCAGCATAAATTATCAACAGGACTTTTATTATCCTTCTTATCATTTTAATCATCTTTGAGCTCGTTGTTGTGTTTCACTGTGGGGTTCAGTCTCATTTCTGTGTTTAGCCGAGTGTCCAGCAGCAGCAGGAAGCTGTTTACAGCATAAAAACCACTGTATTGTGTGCTACCTACCAAACCTAAGATTAAAGGGAAACTAAATTTCGAAGAAAGTGGATCATTTAGCAGATTAAGAGCCAGACAGCCGCTGATGGAGCAATACAAAGGAGTATTAGGGCCATATGGATGAAAATTACCAGAATAGAGATTACAAATTATAACAATGGTTAAAGAAAAAACAGTAAATCTGAAGAACTCAGAGTTCAAGACAGTTAAATATAGTTCAACCGACCCATCACAAAAACTACAGAATACACAGTACCCTATAGTTAGTATTTCAACAATGTAATTGCACTCGGAACAAAAGATTTATCGTAGATATCTTTAGTAGCTCGAGTCAGTTTTAAAACACCTTCCAGAGGGAAGCATGGAACGGATCGCTAGTTACCTCAAAAGCTTTCTTTTTGGTATTCAGAATAAACCTGTGGCTTTGCTGCATCTGTGGTTTCCCTATGATTTTGCTTGCTGCATTAATACCAAGTGACCGTGTTAAAAGACAAGACACCAGATTGTTCTGCACCATTTCAAGAAATTAATGCAAATGTCTCTCCATGTCTGCGGGATATTTAGTCTGTGTACAGTAGCTTACCTGTCTCTACTTCATGAAGCAGTGATAAAATGTTTTTAAAGGGACAAAGAAAATGAATGACATTAGGAATATATAGAGTATAACAGCATTCTTAATGGTTTCCTAATCATTTTTGGCTTCAAAGGAACAATCTGGAAAGAAAATGATATTTTCTGAATCTAACTTAATAAAGATACAGGACATTGGACACTGAGACAAATATCTATGACACATATCTCGGAGTTCCCCATTTCTATCCATTAGTTGTTTAGCATCATTCACTTTATTCCATGAGATAATGGTATGGATGTTATGACTTAACTTGATTCAGGAAAATATGACCTCATATCCTGCTTGAGTCGACTGCAGTGTGTCAGTCCTACGTCGCTCATATTTCCTATTTCAGAGAATGAATGGTTGCATGAAACCACAGAGCAGCAGGTTGTACTGCATCATCGGTTTGTTATCACGGAGCCTCAGGGCTGGACGGCTCTTCCTGAGAAGCCTCAGAAACCGACTGCTGACATTTTAGCAGGTGTGACCTTTGTGTAACTGAGCGGATCAAGCTTTCATTTGCTCAGAGGTAAACCCGAGTCACACCACTTGTGCACCCGCTGCAGTCAGAGCGGATACTTGAGATGACGACATTGCAAAATGTCTTAGATAAGAACCTGAACTTTTTTTATGTATGGTTTATTTATTGGAAGCGCAAAGCAAGCGATGAAATGGGACTTCTCTCACCAAAAGGCAGTTCAAAGCGAGTGTCCAGCAGGACTCGATGAGGCGTTGGGTTCTTGGTGCCATAAATCTCATCCGCCTTCATCAGAACCTCTGCGTCCATGGAAATCCACTCTCCTGAACCCTCCTGGAATTACACAGGTATATTAATATCTACCAAGGTAGAGCTTTAAAAAAAATGTTGAGTCCATTCTTTAAGGCTGAAACTGATTTGAATCATGGGACAGAGCTTTTTTTATTTAATTTTTTTATTAGGCTGCGGGTGTGGAGCGCTCGTCCTCTAACCAGAAGGTCGGCAGGTCGACCCCAGTCTTCCCCGTATGCAAGCGTCCTTGAGGAAGTTAGTGAACCCTGAATTGCCCCTCATAGAATGCACTGTATGAATGTGTGTCTGAATGAGTAAAGGGCAATAAAATGAAACCCAGTTTTCTGGTCAGCAAACAGTAATTGTTGAATGGTTGAATATTCTTATTGAACATGCAAATCTGATTCAACTGACTTCAAAAGTGTGTATTTGTACAATTATATTTGTACATCTTTGGAGGTGAAAGAAAATACTTGTTGGGTCAGCAGAATAAAACTTATTTTAGAATAACATTCATTTCTTAATCTTTTTTCTCTATGATGTCGTTATGATGTGTGCGTATCCCAACCTCCTCTGATTGTTGGATGCTCTTCAGAGGAATCCAGGAGGTCCCCACCATGGTGTCCCAGATGAGGCCTTTGTTCCACACCTCGACAATGAGGCCGAGATCCAGCCGGTTGATCTCACTGTGGGAATAAAAGGGAAATAGATCAACGTTTCAGACATGAAGCCTCGTGGAATATCAGTGGATAAAAGAGAGAAACAGTAGCTGTATAATGTGAGGCCTTGTTATCAGAATATGCGTTTCTGGATTCATATTCAGTGAACCAGACATTTGTACATGATTGCTGCCAGGCCCTACCACTGCCTGATGCTGTGTAATAGCCGTCATAACCAGTTGTTGGTCTTGTTTTATCATTCAGAGATTCTGAGAAACAGCGTGATGACAGCAATGAAACGGCACATCAATTTTGAAAAGAGCTGCGTGACCATTGCATTTGCATGTTCTCATGTGTGGCAGTTCACAACGATCAACAGGCCGAACAAAAGATGAGAGAATAGATAATCAAAGAGAACAGCTAATTGAGAGAAGAGCGGGGGGGGAGGGTAGCGGCTGCACGGTGACCAGGTGCAGACATAAAGGATTTCTAAATCCTCGGCTGGCTCAGAATAAATAAACGTGGCCAGATACTAAAAACAAACTGTTGTTAATTCTAACTGAGTTTGTTTAGGACGTCATTTTGATTGCGTTGTAGATTATTATTTTATAATCGTTTATCATCCTTGTTAATCAATGAGCAAAGAAAACAAGGACGCTGAATCCACCGTGTTGTCCATCTGACTGGAAGCTTTAAAGACTCTTCCTGGTTCCTTGTTATTGCACGGACGGAAGGAAGGATGGATGGACAGATGGATGAATGGAGATAGAAATGGATGGATAGATAGATAGATAGATTCCCTTTATTGCACAACTAGATTTTTGCAGCACATCTTCCCGTTAATAAACACATTTGTCGGCGACAGGTGGCGCTGAGCCTTCGCTGGAGCAAACAATGAACGATTGTGTTTTACATTGAATTAAAGCTCGCCGACACATCATTAATGGAGAGGTCTGGAAAAACAAACACTGTTGCAAGGAGGGAGTTTACAAAAGACAAACAATGACACACATGCAACAACGTGCCATCTCCCTCGTCACCATAGATACCTTTCACAGGAAAAGTAAGATGAGGAAATTGAACAAATGAATTACGGGTAGGAAATGAAGAGCAGCTGTCTGATGAGATGCTTTCATACAAGGAGTTGCACAACTTGAATAGCAGAGACTTTTCCCCCGTGGATAGAAGCATTAAGTAGATTTTAAATTGGAATGACAACAGGAGATGTGACTGTTTCATACAGAATAAGATCTTTTTAGGTAAACAACACAGAAAACCTTGACGAGGCAGACAGAAGCCCACTGTCATTGTTTAATGACAACATAGGACATGACAAACCAAGTCAAACACAGTCAAACAGGTTGCAAATCAATAATGCAGTGAAATCTTCCTTTATATTGTTCTCATTGTGCATTAAGTGAGCTTCTTGCTGCACTCTGAATAAAAAATATATAATAAAATTTAATTAAGCCAATAAATCTCTAAGCGTGACCCCGTGTGCTCGTGTTTAATAAACTTACAACATAAAATCCTGTTCCCAGCAGGGCTGGTGCCCCCGCACAGTGATGGTGGTGCTTTTGACATTCTGCACCTTCAGCGTCACATAGGTGTTGAACTTGTCTGAAACAAAGGAAAGGGAGATATTACATTAAATTACAGTGAAGTGGTTGCAATAGGAGCATTTGGGAGGTTGTATCAAGGAGAGTACTACACACGACTGATCAGAAATGTAGTTGTGGAGTAGATATTTATACTTGAGAAGGAAACTAGAATTGCAGTCCCCTTGTGAAACCACATTTAAATTCACTAGATCCAGATTTTAATTTGGATCTGCACCAAATTGCACAAGCTCATAAATATCAGTCCCCTAAACATATCATCAAGATCTGTGAATGATTCCCTGAGAATTCAACAAAAGTTCAACAAAATTGCCCAAGTCATTATGTTAAAGAAAGTGAAATCCTGGGTTCTTCCACTGATCCACACCAAAGCCTAACGTGTTCTCTGCATCCTTCTACAAAGTTTCATGGAAGCTGGTTCATCATCTTTTGCGTGATCCTGCAAACTAATAAACAAGTGCTGATGAAAACCTCCTTGGCTGCAGATTAGATGTTCAAGCTGTTACAGGTAAAACTGACCAGGCCAGTTCTGCTTTGTTTCGTGTGGGAGAGAAAGAGAAAGACATCAGGAGCTCCGGCAGTGAGTGAAAGCAGATCAGGCTCCTCCCACCCTGTTGAGCCAAGCCAGGCCAGACCAGGCCAGGCCAGCAAACTGACCTTGTTAATCTCCAATAAGCGGCAACGCTACACAGCAGATTCGACTTCATGGCAGGACTCTCCTGCACTGTAACTTACTGACCCCACTCTTTATAACTGAGCTGAACAAACAGCATGCGATAGAGGGAGCAGGTCTGCTGATGACGTAATGAAGAGGAAGTCCTGACCTGCAGAAAAGGTCTCTGTCACACCGGATAGCATCAAGAATAAAACTAAAATTATCAGTCCTGGTCAGAGGCGAAATGTCTTTTTCCTGTTTGCAGCTTCTATTGCAAACGTGTCTGATCTTTAAATAAAGCCTAAATATACGACAGCTGGACAGTTTTGCAGTAAATGACGACTGCAGGGACCCATTGGTTCTGTCTGTCAGCTTCTGCAGACAACTCTCACACCCAGCGATCTCCCATCAGCCTCCTCTCAGCCGCCAGCAACAGACCGCCGAGTCACATCATGACCAACTGCACCAGCTGTCAGCACGAGGCGAGGCGGGGCGAGGGGGGTGGTGAAGGGGATTAGAACGCATGGAACACAACAACCACTTTTCATTTCCTGCAACACGGGAAGGCAGCGTCAAACTCGTGCCTGCTGGTGCGCTCAATTGCACTCCGGTATTTGCTGGCTCTGCACCGCCGGTGGTCGTCCCTACAACTCCAACATCTGCAGAACATAAATCTGACCCCCGTCTGGTTTAAAGATCCTGATAATAGGTCGTATGACTGAAAAGATGTTGGAGAATAGATTCAATTATCTGGTTAACGATTATGATTATTGCAGTTTTTTTAAAGAAAAAAGAAAAAAGAGTAAAAACACTAAACGTGACAGAAATGTAAGCATGACCAAACATAACAATAATAAAAACTAGAATTGTTTCAGGGAAAGTGGTACGATAAAATATAAGATAAGGATAAAATATTCGGGCTGATCAATTGAATTAAATACCTGCGACAGTACAATGAGTACACCTCTAATCACCAGGGTTATAACTCATGACTGCAGAGTAATTTACAATCATATGTTGTATTTTCATATATGTAAAAAAAATATATGTAAAGCTGCTCTCACTTTCCAAGGCAAATCCACATGCACAACGAAACACACAGTGCAACACACACAAGGCATCAGCTGTTCCTTTTACGGACTGATCACCTGACCACGCCAAACAAAGAATTTCCCGGTTACCGCGGCAACATATTGAAACATTTGCTCAGCACATAGCCGTCAACACAGCAGCCAGATAAGTGAGCGTGACTCTTCACACACTGAGACAGTGAACCGTTGACACAGGTGGATTCTCACAACATTCCACTCACACACACGAGAGTAAAGAAAAATCAAAGATTGCATGAGAAAACAAAAAGCACCCGGCCGAACTGACAACCAGTGTCCGTCCAACGAGGAGCCCGAGCGACATGACACAGACCTAATTAGTGTCTGAGGGGACGGCAGCGACAAAATGCAGGCAGTGTTAGAAAAGGAGCCTGGGGGGGGGGGGGGGGGGGGGGGGGGTGCTCAAGCCTTTCCCTAATTAGATAGGCCATGCTTTGTGCCACACTTGGGCCGCCTCCCATGAATAGAGGAGATGAGATAAGGGAAGAGGATGTTGGATTAGATAAGAGCCACTTAGTGGCTGTGCGTCCTTTACAGCAGGTGCTGTCCACTACATGGCCGATACAATCTGAGGAGAAGGCAGCAGCGACTGCCAGGAAGAAAACAAAAAGACGGTGCATGCACACTGGAGCCTGACCGATAATGGATTTATACGGATGATATGAAGAAAATCTAAATAGATGACAGAAAACAAGATTTCAGTTTTTTTTTTAAAGCAAAAGACACACACGACTTACACAACAGCAACAGAGCTATTTAATAACTTGTCTAATATATGGGCATGGAATGTGTCTTAACTTAAAAACAAATAAATCTATGTTATCCATATTTTTAGATACTAGATTTTTGCTTTCACATTTGAAACTTGTTCTTGTTATTCCCTCACAGAGGCCGACCGATATAGAGTGCTGCAGGTGGATGCCAATTGCGATATAAGTATATGTTGAAAAAATTTGGCAATGATTCATCAGATGTTAATATAAAACCCATGACAAAGAAATGTTAGATTTTACAGTTTAACCATTGTTTTTTTCACTAAAAGCACAATTGCACTTTTCTGCATTGTTTATTCTGTAAAGAATTAATTAAATACTAATAAAAAACAATAGCTATTAATAGTAATAGTAATAATAATAATAGCTATAACCCTAACCCATATTGTCCCATATCTGCCTGATATGTCTGTAAAAACTTTCCACTTTCCCCATTTCTGTGACTAGGAAAGGTCAGATTGATAATATCATCCCTGCCTACACTCAAACGAACACACGAAACAGAATATGTAAATCCACATAAATTAAGCTTGAGCCAAACATAATCTAAAGCGACACAGTGAAAACACACTTCTGGAATCAGATGAGGTGAATTATGGGATGACACAGCCTTCAGTACATTTCCTGTCGCTGTTTGAAAACAGCGACGCAGCCCCTGACTGCGGACCACCCACACACACGCTTGAGCCCTCACTGTCTTCATGCATTATTGATTCATGATGAGTTTTTCAATGAATTAGTCACGGAAATGTAGGAAGTTGGAAGGCTGACATTTCAAATTCAGGCCGCTCATCAATGTTGCATGCTGTGGCAGCAGACAAATCTATCGGCGGACTTTCACCAGCGCCCGGAGGCACATTCATGAGAAATCTATGGCTTGGTCCGAAATCACTCAAAACTCCACTCCACTACAAAGTGAGTGCTGTCTGAACAAAAGTTGATTTCTACATTTAATATGATCGTTCAACATGATTTGAACCAAAAAAGTATTAATACTAAGTGTTAATTGAACATTTAATTACTTATTGAAGGATTTTCCACCAGCAGACACTTCATAATCCTGCAACAATGACGTAATCGCTGCCGCAGAGAAAACACTGAGAAGTGTCCAGAAGGGTTTTTTTCTGCGGGTTATTCGTACACACTGAACACCATCTGACTTTGGTGTGCGTCCCGAGTGTCTTGCAGCATGAAAAGAATATTAAAACTTCAGGGGAAGGCATTTCACACACAGACTGAACACAAACATACATAAATCCAGGAACACGCCTCCCCTTATCTAGCCCCAGTTTCCTGTGGCAACAGTGGAAAGTAAGACAGCTGGCCACCGGTCCATCCAAGGTCACCTTCAGTGCAACAGCTCAGGAAACAACTTAACCCGATGCTTCCAAAGTAAAAGCCAAGAGTCTACCCGTCACCAGGTGTGGTGAGAAAACAGCACATGAAAACATCCCAGACCAGCCTTGTGTAAACTTTGATTGTTCTTCCGACAGGTCTTTATTTGCAGAGCGGGTTAATACTGTCACCAGGACTGATACATAACTATGCCATGTTAAAAAAAAATGGATTCCTTGAACTGGGATTAACGGACTGTGACTTCCCAGAATTCAGACAAAAATGGGAAGTAGGGTGTAACAATGGCCAAAGGGTGATGTCTAAATCTAGGCCTGAATGAACAATGTGCCAAAAATCACGTTCTCTACAATAGTGAAAGAAACATGTTCGTTAAGCTCCGGAGACATTCGCTCAATAACATTTCCTGATTGAGCAGGTTGCTGCTACAAAGGGTAAAATATCTGATTCCATAATCTTCATCTGTCCGTCTGCAACTCACATCTTGAAAACCGTTTATCTTATCACCTTCACACTTGGCATTTTTATTTTTAAGGAAGTGCAGTGTCAAGTTTGGTGCGATTTGGACATTCAGTACGTTCGATATTAATAAACTTTGAATACACAGACGAGCAGCGCTCTGTAGCAGCGGCGGCTGGGCCTCATCAACACAACGACAACTGATTCTCCAGTTTGGGGTTCGACGCACTGAGACGAACACGTGTTGTAAACAGGCAGGTTAAGAACGAGAACCACACTAGGAACATTAATAAGACCATTTTTTTCAAGACTGTATTGGTGACAGTATTTCGTTAATCATCTCACGACGACACCTGGCAAATCCTTCTTCACCCTGTGGCACAGAGAGACTGATGTTTGAATTTCGCCTCCGGGTGACGACAAACTTGACCGAGTTATCCCTGATGTTTGCTCTGGGGCAGGTGTGACGAGCGGTGTGCCCAGGAGGAGGGAGGGGGGAGGAGGAGGAGGAGGAGGAGGGCACAAACAGACCGGAGCACAGGCTGACGATGTAAAAACAAATATCAGAGTGAAGCAGAGCCGCTTGTGGCACAATTAATGCAGACGCCTCACTAACTCATTTTCCTAAAGGGGAACAGGGAGAGACTAAGAAAAGTGCACACGAGACAAATGTAACGAGCTGCTGGATAATTGACTTTACGAGGGTCAGTCGGGGACTTGAGAGTGAAAGTGAAATGTCACCGGCAGATCCAAAGCCTCAGTGACTTTCTGTCAGCGCTGATGCCTGCTCTTGACAGAAACGTCAGCGGGCTTAGGGGAAAGGTGTGAGGCCCAACACTAGAGGGATTTGCTCGGGTGGAGACTGTGGGGATTTGGACTTAACAGCCACCGATCTGAGCTCACCTGTGCACGTCTTGGCAGGGAAGGACATCGGATTACGTAATGCAAAATCAAACCAAGCTTTCAGGCATGTGCCAGAATTTGAGTGATTAACCGACATGAGGAAATTAGAGCATGTGGCGCATTTCCAACAACAAATCCATAAAAGATATATTGGCAATTATTTTATGATTGCGGGTTTATTTGGGATGTTCATCTGCTCGAAGAACTGCAGCTTCTCCAGATCGATCTACGTCCGTCCACAATGATTCCTTTTTTTTTACAAGTGAAAGTGTTGAAATATGAAACATCTGGATGACAACATGACCAGGCTGAACAAATACAGTAAAAGGTTTGTGAGCTGAAAAGAACTCACCTGGAGGTCCTTGTAGTTTGGCTTTCTTCACTGTAAAACAAAAAGCAAAACAGTCATTTGCACGTGATGTAATTCTTAAACAGGACTTTTACACAGTGAGGATCCTGATCACATGAAGCATTGGAAAATTCATTGAAATGCAGGGATGTGAGCCATGACTCGCTGCCTCGTGACACCTGAACAACAGCCTCATGACGCTGTCGCCTCCGCTTGCCATGGAACTTGATTAAAATAGATGAGATGTTTGTTTTAGTGGACAGCTGTGGGTCAAGATGTTGCAGGCAAAAAAAAAACCCAGAGAATTTCTTTGTTGAATTTGTGCGTCACACTGCCTGACTGAGTGGCACTCCATTTTGTTTTATTTTTAAATAACCATTGTAAAACTAATATCTATTTACTGTCCTGACACTATTTTAAAGTGAATGCAATCCAACATTCATAAATACTATAAGTATGATTTGTCATGTCCTTAGAAATAGCTTTGAATGGTTTATATTTTGACACTTGTGCTCAATTCTTAACAAACATAATCTGTGTATTGGATTATATGTGATCAGGTTATATCATTGAAACTATGCAATGTATAATCTTTAAATTACAAGTAGATTATATAAGAACAGCACCGTAAGGGATGACGCATACTTTCTATCAGAGCTAACAAATACCTTTTACAATTGCAGAACTTTAATATAATCAAGAAGCATAAGCCTAGACAGCTGTATCACAAACACAGCAGCTGGCTGTGAAACACACACACACACACACACACACACACACACACACACACACACACACAAACAAACACAATGACAAAAGTGGACTGGGGCAGATGGATAAAGATAATAAAAAAATTCAAAATGTCTGGCGGCAACAGCCATTTCCTGAACCCTCAGTGCAATTTGAGCGCGATAAATGCAGGAGCTCAATGTTTTGGTTTATTTTTAGCCACAGCATCTTTAGGCCCCTGATGCATCAATACAATAACGTTGGTGGGATTGTGAAGCGCTTTGCAGGGGATTAATAGTGATTGCTAGGGCAGAATTATGTGTTCAGGCATGTAACCTTCTAAACCTCTGGAGCCTCTGATGGCAGATGGGCAGGACGGGATGATGGAGGCACAAATGACACTTTCATATTTTCATGCAACGTCCCTCCATCTTCTCTCTGTGAACAACTCTGTGGGAGTATTTACGAGCCGTGTGTAAAAAAAAACGCAAAAACAACTAAGGTTACTGCCTAATGGTTTTTAGTTTCTCTTGTTTCAGCTATGTTGCGCTTTTATATTTGACATATAACTAAAAGTAAAGGAGTGAAAGTTTGAGAATGCACATTAATGTAAGTAAATGCAGTTCTGGATGTTACAAAATGAGTTTTTCCCAGTGTTGTCTCTTCGACTAACAACAAGGGACAAAAGGAACTTTACCGTCACAGAGGGGAAGGAAATAAAAGAACTTGTCACCTTCTCCGAAGCACTTCCTATCTTGTACATACATAAGCGGAAAGGGCGCAGTAGAAATGTTGAGAAAATCCAGCCGTGACGTTTTTTCGGTTGTTTTTGGCTTCACACAAAGGCTTTTCAGCTACGGGCCTATCAGTGCTGCAAATGAGCTGGCACAGTGGCCTTACACACTCATTTGCATGATGTTATTTAGGGCTGTGACACACAGCTAAGGGCAATAAACCAGGGGCCATTATGGTGGAAACCCACGCTTATCATTTTATGTCCTGGGGCTTTCCGGTGGCTTTAGAGGCCATTTAGTTTGGACAGGCCTGGGTGCAGGACGATCAGAGTTACCAGAATAATAATTGGAAGAATAATTTATCTTTTTTCTTCCACGTGCAAAAACTCTCCTCTGAACAACTTGTTTCATGGCTTATTTGGACACTAACTGGAAAAATACAGTTTTAAGTGAGTCTTTAAATTCAAAGTGCGGTCAATATGCAGCCCTGCACAAAATCTACACATGCAAATATTACTGAACGCTTTCAGTCAAACACTAGAGGCCTTTAACAAAAGTGTTGATGTTCCATATAAAAGGAAATTCATCATCGGGAGGTCAGGCACACAGCAGGAAAGTACAAACGAACAGGAAGTGACACCAGCGTCTACTACTGCTGTGGGCAGTGGTGTACTTCCTCTTTGTGCTGGCGGCTGGATCTGATCAGGTGGAGCCAGAGAGAGAGGGAGAGAGAGAGAAAGAGAGGGAGGGAGAGGGAGAGAGAGCAACAGATGGCCAGCGGATTACTCCCTCAATCTCTAAGCGCTCTCTGCGCCTCGCTCTGCCTCTTTCTCTCATAATTCCACCTCTCTGCTGCTCGACTACACTCAACCCGACCGCTCTGCCTGCAGATCTGTTATTTTACTTAGTGCTGCACGGCCTCTGTTTCTCATCGTAAAAATCACTTAACTCATCCCGCTGCAGAGACAAGATCAACCCAGCAGGCTCCGAACAAATGGAGCCGAGACAACTAAGGCAATGTTTGTTTCCTTCACTGCCATGACAACAAGGGTCAACTGAAGTTTTCACTGATTCACTGATTCATTTGTCACTGTGCACAGACTTGTAGTTCGGAGACAACATTTCCTGTGACCTGGGAAAATCACTAATGTCAAGTAACTCTAAATTTAACTATTTTCAAAAATGAAAATTGCTTTATTCCTCCCTGCACAGTTTGGTTATTCTGAGCCGTTTCCTATTCCAACAACAACCTCCGAGACAAAGGTCAATCATGTGTCAGCCGGCTCAGCACGCTGGCTGATGGACGGACATCAACGCTGCCCACACCCACTCTCCTCATAAACTCTGTGGAGACCAAATGAGACCACAAAAGCTTCCTGTCGATAGCTGCGTATTACGTCCGACGTGGCCTCTCAGACCCACATGTCAAACCAGTTAAGATCCGCGTGGAGGCGACTACCACTCTCTAGTGTAATGACACGTATCCTGTGTCTGCAGCAGCATCTTAAAACCTCCGGTGCTCCTGGTTTCCACGGGAGCCATGTGTCCACTCAGCAGCGTCCTCGTCCACAGCAGGAGTCTCACCCAAATGTCCACTTGTAAGGGCGACCGCTTAACCGCTGTGTGAAGACATCGCCATGGAGATGGAGAAGCTTCTCAACCAGCAATCAATAAGCAACATTGGCGGGCGGTGCAATCGGGGGGGGGGCTGAGTCACAACGTCAGCTTATCACACAACCAAGCAGCCTTTTCTGTGAGGCCCCATTCTGTACAACAACTCTCATTACTAGAGTCACTGGGGTGAACTTTCTGACGTGAGAGGGACAAAACTGACTTGACTCTTTGTGACCTTTTCCCCGTCTGGAGCTTTTGTCTTCCTCAGCTTGGTGTATCGATTTCTCCAGATTCTTTCTGAGACATGTTGTTCAACAGCAAAATACTTTTTTATTTGTTATTTTTACTTTAGAAGGAACAGACGGCAGGTTCAAACTTATTTTATGTTCCCCGCACATCAAAAAGCTGTTTCTCCTGCTGCCTGTTTTTTGAGATAGCTTAAAATGCTAACTGTTACTCACTACAATGATAACCCAGTTTAAAAATTGGATTTCTTACTCTTTTGTGATTATTATCTGAATATATTTACGTTCTGGAAAGTTGGTCGGACTAAACACGATGGTTTGAGTCCTGAGAAAGTGAGAGGGGGGACGAAGGGAGACTGTCGGACATTTTGTGGACAAAACTATTCTTGACCACTTTCTGACTGACTTTCTGAAGTAGCCAGAGAACTTTGCACTTTAACTCATCCACAAGCAGCATAAGATGAGGTTAGCTGTGCTACTAGCTGCCAAACAAAACAACCACACACAACCCAGAGGTACCACGACTCAGCAGAACGATTCTGGGATAATCTCACACGACGAGGTTTCCTGCTCTGTCTGCAGAGGGTTGCGCCGAGTCATTCCTCAACAGTGACGTGGATAACATTTGGAAAGGTATTAAAGAGACTGAAGATCATGGCAGAGGGACTCTGGATGATTGTGTAATCGGGCATGAGCGGACGGAGGGATTGGAAGGTTACCTTTAACTGAATTAAGCGCGTCTGTGATGACACTGTCACACAATGATGGAAAACATGACTGTATTTCCCATTTCAAGAGATAACGGGGATTCTGACATTTAAATATGGGACGGAAAACAGCGGGAGGGAGAAGTGAACTATACTTCCTGTTTTCAGAAAAAACTTCAGTCACAGTTTCATGAGGTCCACTTTGATCCCAGCTCTTCTGACCAGAGTTCCCTTTCTGACCTAAATGCTCGATGATATTTCGCGCATCATTTCTGTAAAGGACGCCAACAGGAGCCACCACGAAGACAGACCTTACTGTACCCACAGAAACAAACTTCATCTTATTTAACATATTCAACAGTTTATCCTTCATCTTCCCACTGATAAATCTATTTTTTTAATCTTTATTATTTAATCTGTTCTCTTTGTTTTGGACTGGGATCATATTTAAGTGATTTAGTACATCTGCTGCATCTGTTCCAGCTTTAATTCCCTTTTCAGGACACAATACTTTAAAGAAAGATGAGCTGACATTTACATATAAACTCTATTTAAGATTTCTCTCCCGTCATTGCTGTTATCCTGGTGTGAAGCACTTTTGTTAAGTATTATTAATAATGTCACGATCCTGTTTGTTCTTATTTTTGTAATATCAATTTAAACTTTGTTGCATCATCGCTGTTTTAATTCATGCGAGAAGCTCTTTGCACTTTTACCAAGCAGAGTACAACACAAACCAATATTTTATCATCACCCTGACTGTATTTTTTTTATAACCACATTTAATGTGATTCTTGCTTCATCGTGTCATTGCTGTTTTATCCTGATGTGAAGCACTTTGCACCTTTGTTGAGCAAAGTGACGAGCAAACAAAACCTCGTTAATATTATTATTATTATTATTATCATTTGACTTTTTCTGTTAAATATCAGAGTCCACACAAAGACCTGCCTGTGTCTGTGAGAATCAAACAGCTGCTGGGGTTGTTGCTGCTTCGCTCCAAATTCAAAACACAGGCATCAGATCTCCATCCTGTTGTTTTTCATTATTCTTAATGCAGATGTTTTTTAAAAATCACGACAGGACACATTTTACTTTTCTATGACCTGTCACTGTTACCTGAGGAGGAGGAGGAGGAGGAGGAGGAGGTGGAGGAGGTCCACAGGGAGAAAACTCACTTTATCAGATTTAATTCAACAAACCCAGTCCAACCATGTGATTAATGTTGTCTGTGACCTTATAATAAAATGTAAAGTGTGTTAAACTCACCTCGGACGCACAGTAACGACATGGCAAAGCGACGGTCCTCTACTTTCACACACTTTGCGGAGATTTACTCTGTTTACATCCGTTCGAACCGCCTGAATTCGGGGGTCGGGGGACGAGCGGCTCCCGGTGGACGTTCACTGGAGGTCGTCTGACGCCGGACTCGGCCGCAGATCAGCAGCGGAGGACCGACACCAGCTCCGCGCCATTGCTGGAAGTCTCAGCCGCAGTGTGGCTCCAGATTGACGGACAACCTGAGGACGGAGAGCCGGGGGGTGGGGGTGGGGAAGGGAGACGCGGGGACACCTGTTACTGACGGCTGGTCTGGCCAATGGGAAGGCGGTGCTGCCGCCGGAGGGCGGGGCCGATCCGAGTGATCTGGCCAATCGCTGAGAGGCGCAGGTTGGCGGAGGAAACAGGTGACGTAGAGAAAAGTACCTGAAACTTTTTATTTATCATTATATAAATATATATATATATATCATATATTATTTTAATTTACTTTCAAACATCTCCCCACAATTCAAACTTATTATATTCAACATAAGAATATTTTATATTTTATTTCACTTTTAATCATCACTAAAACTTTTTTATTCAACGTGGGCATATTTTTGATTTAATTTTACTTTTAGCCATCTCCCTAGAATTAAACACATATTTCATATTTATATTTATTTCATATAAAATGTAATTAAAACGTTTTTTTTATTTTGTATGTTTATGTCGTTGATGGGATTCGTCTGTATACTGTAGTATTTTCTGTTTCAGCCTTGTTTCCTTTCTTGTCTTCTTTTTTGTAAAAGGAGGTCAGGTTCTTTTCTATCAGCCCTCTCATCACTACAGACAGAAACCTTGCCCACTTATCAATAAACAGTCGATCAAGAAAGATAAATATATAAATGAACACCCATGACACAAACCATTTAAGGGCTAATGAACGATAGATAGATATAAATGTATAATAATAATAATAATAATAATAAGAGTTTGATTCTATGAGTTACAGCTGCACTGGAAATATAACCAAACTAACAGCGCCACCGTGTGTATTCAGTAAGTCATTAAAGCCACAGCACATTTATTCTGAACTCTTCTTTCACATCCTTTTCTGACCACACATTTATTTCAGAACACACCAACAGAAACAATAAAATAATCATAACAATGTTTGATTTAGACTTTAATATAAAGACGTGCAATTCATGTACTTCAGGGCCAAAGGTATCCGAGTTAGCATTCTAAGTGTTGTCATTTTTTTTTATAGCAATTTATTAAGTTAATTTCCTAATTTAAAATATATCAAGTTTCCATAAACTCTCGTTTTAATAATTTGAGGATAACTTCAGCGTCGGTTCTTCGGTTCCTCTTCCTCGCGCCGGCGGAGTCCTTTCAGCGGTGCACCACTGATGTAACGCTGACTTCCTGATCGTCGAGGGTCACTCACATGAGTTCACAGTTTGGATCCCGAGCACTTTGAGGAGCCGAGTCTTATTTTCACGGTCGTTGAGTTTGAATGATGTTACGGTCGCTGTGTCGAGCCGGAGGAGCCATTTTACAGGTAAAATCCTAAATGTTTCCGTGTCGCTTCCGGTTCTTTAAGCTCGGGAGTTGGTGTCATTCAGCGAGCAGCCGTGTGTTAACAATGATCATCCACCAACATTCAGCCTGATGGAGGAAACACTGCGGAGTTAATGAGACCAAACTAACCAGTCACAGTTCTACTATCAGGCTCCTCAGCTCAGTCAACTCAGGACTGACATCTGCACATCTGCTGCCTGCTGGCACTCTGTTTGGACAAATGTGAAACAACTTAAACACACTGATGTACATTAACTATACACACACGTGCAATAACTATACACACACGTGCAATAACTACACACACACGTGCAATAACTATGCACACACACACACTTCATGTTGTTTATTTGCAGAAAAGTCAAACGTCTGCTGTCTCCACATTTGGGTGAACATGTGATGTGTTCCCTGTAAATCAAATGTCTTTATGTGTATTTACATTGTTAAATATACCAAATGTGTATCAACCATAACACAAGCATTTATAAAAGGACTCAACATTGGAAAAAGCCATTTGCAAACTTATCTTGTTTGATCTTTTAAACATGACATCATCTTTATATCCAGTTATTGAGTGCAAAGAGATATCGTTATTATAATTTTTCTTCTCTTTCTTCTCTGCTCTTTGTTGTAATCGTGTGCCCCTGCAGCAAACCCAGAGGACTGCGCCGAGGTTGTGGGTGACACCAGCGCAGCAGCGATGGGCGTCCAGCCTGCCCATGAACACCGTGGTCCTGTTTGTGCCCCAACAGGAAGCCTGGGTGGTGGAGAGGATGGGTCGCTTCCACCGAATCCTAGAGCCGGTACCTTCCATTAGTCTGAATGGGTTTTCTTAAATCCAAGTCCTTTTCTGTCCTAGTTGAAATGCATTCAACACTTATAGATAAGTGTGGGTGGTCTCTAACCTTTGTCCCCTTCACTTCCTCCAGGGTTTGAATTTCCTCATACCCTTACTTGACCGAATCCGCTACGTTCAAAGCCTCAAAGAGATTGTGATCGATGTCCCGGAGCAGTCTGCGGTTTCTCTTGGTAAGAAAGACAGGATGTGGGAGGAGGATTTAAAAGCAATGTTTCTTTTGGTGTCATGCAACATTTAACTTAAAGATTTTACGGTTCAGCCGGAGTGTCGTCAAATTAAAGTGTGACCTTCCTTTTCTTTACAGATAATGTCACACTACAGATTGATGGAGTTCTCTACCTAAGGATCCTAGACCCTTTTAAGGTACTATTGCAATTGTTATGTCATACTGAGATATTAGTAAACATATGTTTTTTAATAAATCTCTCATTCACTTGTTTTTGTTTCCAGGCCAGTTACGGTGTTGAGGATCCAGAATATGCCGTCACACAGTTGGCCCAGACCACCATGCGTTCAGAACTGGGCAAACTCTCACTGGACAAAGTTTTCAGGGTAATGAGAGACTAGTGATGCATCTTATTCTGGAAACTGAAAAAATGAAGTGTCTGATAGGTATTTAAAATGTTTATTTTATTTTGAAGGAAAGGGAGTGCCTCAATTCCAACATCGTCCACTCCATCAACCAAGCTTCAGATGACTGGGGAATTCGTTGTCTCCGTTATGAAATCAAAGACATACACGTTCCACCTCGGGTCAAAGAGTCCATGCAGATGCAGGTGAGGTTAATAGAAACCTATGGAAGTCTTTATTTCTCTGGTTGGGCTTCATTCACCGGTGGTCTCTGTCTGAGGATTGAAGCCCTTTTAAAATTCTGTTTAAAAGCTGTTACCCACCGACACATTGAATTCCCTCTGTGTAGGTAGAGGCTGAGCGCAGAAAGAGAGCCACGGTGCTGGAGTCTGAGGGGCAGAGAGAAGCAGCCATTAATGTCGCAGAGGGATGTAAACAAGCTCAGATTCTGGCGTCAGAGGGAGAAAAAGCAGAGAAGATCAACAATGCGACTGGTAGGTGCTCTGAGGGGTGACTCTTGATTTCTCCCATACTTGTTGCTCGCAGTGATTCTTTAAGTTGAGGCTGTAGAGCTAAAGGTTCCTGAATTACTACTGTATTACAGAGAAATACCCAAGTTACATGTCACTCACACATTTCTTGGTTCCTGCAGGTGAGGCTCAAGCTGTAGTAGCCAAAGCTGAAGCAAAGGCCAAAGCCATCCGTATGTTGTCAGAGGCTCTGACCGAGCAGGTGAACACAAGTTGTTTTTTAAATGAAAGAACCATGATGTGTGTTTTAATCTGTAACAGATGTGTTTTGGTTGATGTTGATGATGTTTTTTTTTTCATGGTACAGAATGGAAATGCCGCAGCCTCACTAAATGTGGCCGAGCAGTACGTGTCTGCTTTCTCAAACCTCGCCAAAGAGTCCAACACCATCCTTCTGCCGTCTAACACTGGCGACATCAGCAGCATGGTCACACAGGTATTTACACTCACATTCACAGCATCTGCTTTTGCTGTCATCAGTCAGGACATTAATAATTGTTGTCTCATTTTCCTGCTCCTCAGGCCATGACCATTTACAGCACGTTGGCGAAGCAGAGCCCACGCGTAACAGCGGAGGCGGCGCCGTTGGAGAACAGGGAGGAGCTGCAGAACCAATCAACATCGATTCAGTAGTAGAGGAATCAAAATGAACTCAAAGTAGTGACACGGAACCAGGGGGAAACTGTTTATGGTTAAGTTATCGGGAGCTTCAAGGCATCGCTGTGGGACAGAAGCTCACACACCTTCTACTGGCTGATTGAGAAGAACTGCAAATTTAAATAACTCTTCCAATGTCACATCTTGACCACACTATGACAGAATATTGGTAAAACTTTCAGACCTGGTTAATGTTTTGTAAATGCGGTAATCACAGTCAGTCCATGTCAACCATCTGCCTTGTTTGTTTACAGAGATCGATTCAGTTCTTCAGCAGCTCTGGGACCAGCAACTTTGAGTTGCTCAATGTGACGTCTCAGAATGGTTGGAAGTCCCTGAGAAAGTAATTTATTCTCAATTTGACCCATGTGATTAAAAATGTTTTTCCCTCAGCAAAGCTAAACCAGTATATGCTTAAGAAAGAGAGAGTAAAACCATTAAGAAATATTTCCCTCTAAATAATTAGTGGACAAAGTCGGCCCCAGAAACATGTTCCTGTTCTCATCAGTTATATTTACCAGTTATTTTCGTCTCTTATGTCTTTTGGGATATATAGTATTTGTTGAATTTCATGGTTCTCTGCAAAATTTGAGTTTGTCATTTCATAGGTCTCTGTAATGATAAGATGAAATTGGTACAGAAGACTTGATGTGGTGGAAAGGAAAGTTGTGAAGCACTTGTTTAGGATTAATGATATAAGATTTATTATGTTGCAACGAAGGACAAACTCCCAGCAAAATAAAATACATAAAAATTGTTACACTGGTCAACTCGTGTTTTGTTTCAATGATTTGTTTTGATATTTGCAGCTTTTATTGTAATTCAGTGGCAGAACTGGGTTTGTGTAATGGGAAATGATGGACAAGCAACAAAACAACAGAATCATTCAACGTCAAATTAAAATGAATTGTATCTTAGGAACTAATAGAGGGATGTAAGGGGCTTTGTTGGCCTGCAGCTATTTGAAGTTTGTATTTTATTGAATTATTTGCTTTGTTGAATGTCTTGTGAAAGAGGAGCAGACTATATAAGATTATTCCTCGGTCTGCTCCTTCTTTTTTGGTTTGGTTGAAGAATGAAATAAACTTATGAATAGATAAAGTTCTCCAAAATGTAGTTGTTAAAGGTCCAGTGTGTCAGATTTAGGTGAAGGGGATCTAATGGCAGAATGTTTTTAAATCGTACAAATTGTTTTTTTCAAACTCATTTTTAGTAAATCAACATTTTTACTCAACGAGTAAACTGACCCATAACTGCGTGTAACTTTTCTGCAAGTGTATTTATCATTCCCTAAGTTTTGAGTAGTACTCGATATATTTTATTATATTTTATATATAAATATATATATATATATATATATACGACTGTGTGCCTGAGAGTCTTCACTCAGGGTCACAAATTCGCTCTTTCACCGTGGTGTTACGAACAAACCCGTCCGCCGGCTCGCACGCTCGCAAAGGTTCCTAGCGGTCCCCGGTCATCTAATCTCGCTGTACCCGGCGTCCCAATGCAGGTGAGGGGGGAGGCGTCACGTCGCTCTCCGCTCCACCTGAGACACCCGTGACCTCCGCGTTGTTGGCGGACACACACACACACTCACACACCCGCGGCCGCAGAGAGGACGAACACCGCAGCGGGACAAGGTCAGTGACAGGAGCTGGATGGGAGCTAGCTAACGGCTAACTAGCATCTTTAACCGGCCCGTCCTCTCAGCGGTAGCCGCTTCGGTAACACCCGGTCGCGGCTGCAAAGCGGCGTGGTCCCGGTTCTCTCCCCGGTCAAGGTGAAACTTTCCGTGAAACCCCCGGATTAGCCTCCATGTTGCGGGCGTCACTTTCCCCGCCGGCTAATGTGGAGTAAATCTGTGTGTTCAGGATGAAGCGGCTCCCGGTGCTGTCCCTGCTCCTCTGCCTGTGCTCCGTGTACTTCGTGGGCATCTACCTGTTCGTGGGCGGCTTCCTGCTGGTGCGGCTGGAGGTGAACAGGACCAGCGGCTGCGGGGACGTGCTGCAGCCCGGCGGGGAGCCGGCGGACTTCTGCCGCGTCCGGCCGCGCTTCCGTCGCGCGGTGCTGCTCATCATCGACGCCCTGAAGATCGACTTCGCCCGGTTCGACCCCAGCAACGCGGCGCCCCGTCCCCACGAGAACAAGCTGCCGGTGCTGGAGGAGACCACCGCGGCCAGGCCCTCTCACTGCCGGCTGTACCCCTTCCGCGCCGACCCGCCGACCACCACCATGCAGAGGATCAAGGGCTTCACCACCGGCTCCCTGCCCACGTTTGTGGATGTTGGTAATAACTTTGCTTCCAGCGCCATCCTGGAGGACAACCTCATCCACCAGCTGGGGCAAGTGGGTGAGTACTTATATTGGGGAGGTCAGTACTTATATTGGGGAGGTCAGTACTTATACTGGGGAGGTGAGTACTTATACTGGGGAGGTGAGTACTTATACTGGGGAGGTGAGTACTTATACTGGGGAGGTGAGTACTTATACTGGGGAGGTGAGTACTTATGTTGGGTAGGTGAGTACCTGTACTAGATAGGTGAGTACTCCCACTAGGTAGCTGAGTACTTATACAAGGGAGGTAAGTACTTATGTTGGGTAGGTGAGTACTTATACTGGGGAGGTGAGTACTTATACTGGGGAGGTCAGTACTTATGTTGGGTAGGTGAGTACTTGTACTAGAGAGGTGACTACTTATGTTGGGGAGGTGAGTACTTCCACTAGGTAGATGAGTACTTATACTAGGTAGGTGAGTACTTATGTTGGGTAGGTGAGTACTTATACTAGGTAGGTGAGTACTTATGTTGGGTAGGTGACTACTTATGTTGGGGAGGTGAGTACCTCCACTAGGTAGATGAGTACTTATACTGGGGAGGTGAGTACTTATACTGGGGAGGTGAGTACTTATACTAGGGAGGTCAGTACTTATACTGGGGAGGTCAGTACTTATGTTGGGGAGGTGAGTACTTCCACTAGGTAGATGAGTACTTATACTAGGGAGGTGAGTACTTATGATGGGTAGGTGAGTACTTAAATTTGGTGTACATTTTCTGAGATATTGATAGTCCACTGTTTTCTCATATTTTCTGAGACTGGCTGTATAAAAATAAATATCCATTGAGATATTTAAAAATCTGAAAGTCCAGGTTTGTAGCTAAGGTGAAACTGGAACATGTCTGATTCTTGCATCTGTATATCTCACCGCAGGTAAACGGGTCGTGTTCATGGGCGACGACACTTGGGAGAATCTTTTTCCGAAGAAGTTCCACCGCTCTCTGCCCTTCCCCTCTTTCAATGTCAAGGACCTGCACACTGTGGACAACGGGATCCTCCAGCACCTCTACACCACCAGTATGTGTCCTTTAATAAGCTTTAATGTCCCCATGACAGCAACACGTTTTATACAAGGAGGACTGCGGACATGTCATGATGTCCTCCACCTGTCCCCCTCTGTTGGTCCTGACAGTGATTGGCGGTGACTGGGATGTCCTGGTTGCTCATTTTCTCGGCGTGGATCACTGCGGACACAGATTCGGTCCCGACCACCCGGCCATGGCCGACAAGCTCACCCAGATGGACGGAGTCATCAGGTCAGACAACAGTGCAGCTGTTCCCCTGCGTCTTCTGGCTGCTGTCATCACCATCATGATGTGATCCCTGTGTAGTATAACAGACATTCATTAGTAACAGAGACATTTTGAATTGCAGATCTAAACTGAATGAGCTGGTTTTATGTTATGTTTTTAAAAAAAAACAGAGAATACTGTCTCTGGTTATGTTCTCAAACTTGATTCCCCCCTTTCCCTCCAGGTCTGTGATGGACCGTCTGCAGAACGACACTCTCCTGGTGGTGATGGGTGATCATGGGATGACAGACACCGGGGATCACGGTGGAGAAAGTCAGAAGGAGACCGATGCCGCTCTCTTCCTCTACAGTCCGGCCCCTCTGTTTCCCGGACCCCCGTCACAGGTCGGTACACTAGCCGACTTTTTCACGGCCAACACAACCAAAATACACGCAAATGAAAGAACATTCACTTTTAATTTAATGTAAATTTAATGTATTTTTAGTTCCTCAAATCACCACAACATTTGCTTTTATAATTAAACTGTTCCCTGCGTGAACCGTATCCGGTAAATTGATGCTGGCAGGTGGTCGCCACCTTTTTCAGGGATGAACGTGGATAACACACAAGAAACAAGCTTCCACTCCGCAAATGATTTCCATAATTGGAGCTTTACGCAACACATTGTTCAAAATCGTGGGTTACGTGACTACACAGGAAACAGCACTACTGTGATGACAGGGGGCGTTAGACTCGATGCAGAAACTCTTCTTCTCTAGTTCTTATTTCACAAGGTGGGAATGAATCATTTCTTCATGATCTGCTTGTTAATAAGCAGTTGAAGTGTTTAAACTTTGTCCTGCATGTTTTTATCTTCTACAAACTATTGAACTAATGTCTCATGTTTGCAGAGTGAACCGGATGTGGTGCCCCAGACTGACCTGGTGCCCACCCTGGCTCTGCTGCTCGGCATTCCCATCCCATACAGCAGCGTGGGCCAGGTCCTTCTGCCCTTATTCCCTCCTCATGGACAGGGTGCGGTGGGAAGTCTCAGCCAGCTGGAGGCGCTGTGGATCAACGCAAAACAGGTAGAATGCTTACCGACAGTCCAGCAGCAGCAGTTCAGTGTTCCCACACGGCAAATGTCGATTCACGTGTTTTTAATATCATCTCTGTTTCCGCAGGTAAACCGTTTCCTGGAGACGTACTCTGGAATGGCCAAAGACATCCCACCAGAGAGCCTCTCTCAGCTGAAGGACGAATTCTCCCGCCTCTCCTCCGAGTACCTGTCCACTGTCCGAGAGGGTCGGCCACCCTCCCCTGAGCTGGCAGCCTCACTGCAGGCCTACCTCACCTCCGTCAGAGACACCTGCCGAGCCACCTGGGCCCGGTTCAACCCGTTCAAGATGGCGGCTGGGTTAGTCATCCTGGCGTTTGCCTGCTTGATGTGTTTCATCCTGTCTGAGCTGTCCCTTGTGCTGATTAGGGAGAATGGTTATGGACTGAAGGCCCCGGTTGTCGTGGCTCTAACAGCGGGTGTTTGCGTGGCTGTGGGTCAGCTGTTCACGCAGGGCTACATCGAGGTGGCGTGGTGCCTGGCAGCTGCTGCCCTCAGCTCTGAGCTTGTCTTCTTCTGGACAGCATATGGATCCCGAACTGCTGCTGTGTCAAAGAATGGATCCAAAGCTCTAAAGTATGTGAGCTGGCTGACCCTGCGTAAGCTCCTCATTCCCCCTCTCCTGGTTTCTCTCCTCCGCTGTGCCTCCATGCTCTCAGATAGCTATGTGATCGCCGAAGGCCGGGTGGTGACATTTCTCCTGTTCTCTCTGGCTCTCTATATTCCCATCCATCTCAACTGGGATGGCCTACTTTTACCACCCAGCCATGACCCCCTGAAGTCTGCCGGGCTGCTGCCGTCCCCAGCCTTGTCTCCATCAACCGTGAGGAAAGAGAGCAGCACCCTCCTGGCCTGTTCAGGACTCCTCGTCGGCAGCCTCTACCTCTCCCTGTCATTTCACGGCTGCCGGGAAGAGCAGGGCTCCTGCCAGCCTTCGCCGTTCCTTTCTCCTCTCTCCCGGTTGCAGGACAGCCAGCTGAAGAACATCCACTACGTCTTGTCTGTCTTCTCCCTGGGCTTGTGGACGTATCTGCTGAGACGCTGCCTCCGCCACTACGGTAACCTCAACTCCTCAGGTGGGACGGTGTTCACGGCCCGCTGGATCTTACCACTGCTGTCCGTGTGCCTGGGGCTGCACTGGGCTGTTAGTGCCACACCAGAGGACAGCTTCAGGAATCTGGGCGAGCTGATCAGCCTGGCCCAGCTGTCTCTCCCCAGGGCTGCCTTCTGTCTGTTGGGGCTGGGGCTGTTTCTGATCTGGCTGGATCCCCTCACTGTGTTTATAAAAACCAGGGCTGCAGCCTCAGCCAGAAATTCTTTGCTACCCCTACCCCGTTACCGAGCCAGCACTGGCATCAGCCCCCAAGCCGAGCTGCACCACCTCATCCCGCAGATCTACCAGCGTATGCGCCGTTCCCTGGACGACGACGCCGCCGAGCCGAGCGGGGGTGGCGAGGTGGACAACAGGCCCGCCGTGGAGGCCTATGGACTGGGAACTGTGTACTCCGCACCCCTGCTGCTGTTCTGCGGCCTGCTGGGAATTGGCCTGCTGCTGCTGCACCCAGAGGGCATGGCTCTGTCTTTCCTCCTGCTGCTGCTAGAAATGGGAGCTCTGCTGCTCATTCACGCCTCCTCCACTACCCTCAATGGCCTCCATGGAACATACTCTGGTACGATGATGATGATCTCCTTCTCTTTTTGAATCAGTAATTCGTAACGACATGCTCCTTGTCCTTTAAAAACAGGACCGATTTTACACCGTTCACTCACTTCTCTGCTCTTTCAGGTGAATTTAATGTTCCCTGGGCTCCGATAGTGATGTGGGCCTTGGCCGCCACCCAGTTCTTCCACGCCACGGGTCACCTTCCGACCTTCCCATCCATCCAGTGGGGTGCCGCCTTTGTGGGGTTCCCTGATGGACACACAGGCACCATACTGCCCGCCTCACTGGTGACCCTCAACACCTTCGCCTCACACATCTTGTTTGCAGGTAAATCTGGGACAAAGCACAAGTTACAATGAACCACAGCACCGGATTATATGATTCACCGTTTGTCCCTGTCTGATTGTCTTCAGTGGGTTGTCCTCTGCTGCTGTTCTGGCCCCTGGTGTGCGAGGTCCGCGGCAGCAGAGGAGGAGGAAGAGCTTGCGGGGATGAGGAAGAGGACGCTGTGATGGAGATGAGACTGAGAGAAAACCCGCAGCAGTTCAGCGCCGCTCTCCTGCAACTCTCAACACGCTACCTCTTTATCCACGGAGCACAGGTAACAGTGTCTCATTTCACACAATGATACCAGAGAGACACAGCGTCATAACGGATAGAAACCAGTTCGTTTCGAGGCGCTGAATTGTTTTAAATATTTCATGATTATCGTCAATACCAGGATATCGTGACATCTCCTCGCGTCCGTGTGATGTTAAACCTTTTTGCTTCACACGACTCACGACCTCTGCTCTCTTCACAGGTCTTTGCCTCAGTCAGTGCAGCTGCCATCCTCAGGAGACACCTAATGGTGTGGAAGGTGTTTGCACCCAAGTAAGTGTCTGAATGGATTTTCCAGCTCACTCAAACTCTACATGCAGTAAAGACGTTTGAGGACATGGACACGGCATAAGTCCAGTTCAGTGAATGACGATGGCCTTCACGTGTTTACCTCCAGGATTCTTAAAATTAATGTTACGCAGGTTTTCTGTGGGATCTTAATTCAAAAAAAGTATTATAAGTATAATGCACTCTTTAAAATACATTCTACTAAATATTAGTTAACCTTGTGTCATGTTTTTGCTGCTCAGACTTGTAATGTAAAGTTAAAAATGGAATCTCTTGTGTCTTTGCTTCCTTGAGGTTGATGTTTGAGGCGTCTGGGTTCCTGGTGAGCAGCGTGTCTCTGCTGATCGGGGTCACGTTAGTGCTGCGGGTCGACGTCGCCGTGGGCCGCTGGTTTAAGAGAATCCTCCCCGATGCGTCCAGGTAGCGACGGCTACGTACAGAAACATCACCATCTGTGTCTAACATGCCGATCTCCTCAAACATGTCTTATGAGGTCACCTCTTACTGTAACTTGAGGGCTACGCTGTGCGGTACTGACTCTGAGGCCTTTCCCTCGTCAGCCAGAGGGACTGAAGGATGTCGCATCTCGGACTGAACCAACTCCGAGCATGTGGACTGTTTTTTATATTCAGTGGGTTTTGGCTAAAGGTGATTTGGGGTTTGATGCCATTGCGTTCCAGAGTCTGGAGAGTTACTTCTGAATGTTCTAACCTGCCGAGCCAGAAAGTCTCGTGGTTCTGCTGCAGTTTAAAAAGCTTCACTAAATACAAACGGTTTACAAAAGCTTCACACCTGTCGCAGCTGAAGAAGAACCTCAGCATTCAAACTGAACCGGCCTTTTTAATATCCAGTGGCTTTTTTTTCATCCTCGTAACTGAGGCTGACGTCACACTTACATGCACCAGAGTGGCCAAAGGGACAAGTTTAATGTGATGGGGAAAAAAAAAAAAGCAGCCACGGACGGCAGACGTTGCTGTCCGGGGAAATCAACAATTAGATTAAACTAATGAGCAGGTAAATGTTCAGCCACTTTCTGCAGAGACCGAAGTCAACGTCTGGAGCTGCTTTATTATCCGTTTGCGAGCAGCTCGGCTCCATTTGGCAAAATCCATCCAAGTGCATTACAGCGTGTCATCTAAGTGTC